TTACTGCCAACATGAATAAAGATATGGGCTCTAAAAGTAGAAATGCGAGAATGACTTCCACAATATGAGCTTTTTTTTTTGTGAAGTTTCCATCTGGATGCATTAAGATCTCCGCTGCCACAGGCCTCTATAGCTTCACACTGATAACACTAATAGCACACAGACACTGGCCACTTCAGATTACTGGTGACATCAACATGCCCATTCCTCCCTCTCAGACACAGTTGACTCATTTTCCTTTCACCCACAGTATCTGATGGGCTAACGCAAGAGGATCTGATACTGTAGGGTCTCTCATGTACCATATATGGCGCTTACGCATGTGCAAGTATGACGCCCGTGATGTGTGCATGTTAACTAACAGGTACGAGCTGGCAGGTGCCGACATGTGCGCAGTGCAGCTTCAGGCTTCTCAGATGTTAATATTAAGACGTTTAATTACTAGAGGAAATTGCTCTGTCTCTGTCGCTGCTCCTCCGTCTCGTGGCAATTGAGCAAGAAACTGTAACATCCACCGCTCGCAAGACTCTTTCTACGCGTACAGAGAGAGTGGTGAAGGTAAAAGTGTTTATAGCTGTTGCGAAACAGCTGCGTTCAAAGGCGGGGTGGGGGTGCGGGGGGGGGTGAGACATGTTAATTAACTATTTAAATATGGAGATAATCGCACTCACTTTCAGACAGTCTCTGAGGGAGGGCATTCATTTTTTTTTTTTTTTTACACCCAAAACATCAGAATGGAAAAGGAGCTTTAGAGAAACGCTGCCTAATTTGTCAAATTTTCGATTGTCGGGTTGTTGGTTTTGCGGAAAATTCCCAAACACGTTCCTACAGTGGAAAGTTGCAAGGTGGAGTTCAACCATCCTGGCAAGCGCTCCCATTGGGGTATATTGACTGCTTAAGTGTGTGTCCTGTGATGAGGAGTCCATGTATGTGTTCAGGCACCTATCGCAAACAAACAAGGCATAGAGAGGGATTCAGAAGTCGGCTCACCCTTTTGTTTTCTTCTGTTTTCTTGCTTCTAGCTTTTTGCAGATAGTAGCTCTTTTTTTTTTTAAATTTTTGCTCAGGTTTTTAAATATTGATCTCTTAGCTTCTGCCTCCACCCAAGTACAACATTTTGTTACAGGCCCCTCAAAACAACTAAAAAAGCAGACTTAAAAAACAATAAGAGACAATGTTCCTGTTTCTCTGAATAATCCACGCATCCCGCTGTGAACAGCTTTCTTTGAAGGTACTTGCCACCAAGGAAAGAGTCCTGTATGAAAACTGTATAGCACATTTGGAGGATGGTCCAATGCAACAGCATAGCAAGTGCCACAAACCAAATTCCAGTCATCTCAATAGTACCCAGGTGGAGACAGACACATCAGACAGTGATTTATGAACACTTGGGGGGGGGGGCAGGCTACATAACTAAATACTGCTACAAACTTTATTTTCATTAACTGAATCTGGGACTTGGGGCCAGTTTTTTAAATGTGGGAATTCCATTTAGGCTTAGTATGTCATTTCTGTTGTGTCTGAAAGTCACAGCTAAGGATCACACACCAGATTTAGCAGTGACAGAGCTGACAGAACTGGAGACATCGAAATCCCATTCTTAAATAAGGAGGCCCTTGGATAGTCCAGCAGACTAGTCATGTAGAGCATGCTCTCCTAACATTCCTGCCCCTGTCTGCACGCTACACCTCCCCTTCACTACCAGCAGCCACCACAGGGCCGGCTCCTGCCAGCTGCTCCGCCTCAGGAAACTTTACATAAACTTAAATAATGTCTTGCCGCATTCCACCCATCTCATGGCCTTTACCCGATGAGATAAATAGGACGAATATGCCCAACTGGGACAAGACAATAATCCCTTTATCTGGCACAGGGTGAGCTTGACTAGCCGGCTTACCTGTTACATCATTAGCTATAGGCAAGAGGGGAGAATGGGAGCAGGAAAGGAGGATGAAAGAAGTAGGACCAGGGATAGGTCACAAGTTGATGTAATCGGGACGTAAACACCACAGAATAATTAAGAACAGGACGGAGAGATACTGTGGCAGACTACAGAGAGCTTGAGGTAATAATACATTTAAATAATTGTAGGGAGACCGGCTGTCTTGAAGTACAGTCGCAGCAAGTGTATAAGTGCTACAGACAGGCCTATTTGACAAGGATAGATGAGCTCAGCCACATGAGCCTGTATTCGCTCAGCACTGAGGCGAACAAAGTAGAAACTCTAAGCACCCCGAGAGCTGTTCTTGCAAATAGCACATCACTTGTTTACCTTGAATACTGGTGTTTTATTTGCATGAGTCAACCTTGTGGAAAATCCATAACTCATTTGCAAGGCTCTTACAGCACATACGACGTCAACAGCATATCTATGATGCCCAAAACGCAAACAGCCGTGCGCGCGCACGGGGGGGGGGGGGGGGGGTGGGACTCCCACCCAACTGGATGGAAGGAAAAAGCAGAAGTGATAATGGCTTAGTAGGTATATCGTCTGCAATGGTCTTGAAATGACTTTTTCTTCAGTCTCGTCAATATGAAAAGATTGTAAAAGAAGAAAGATAAACAAGTTGCTCTCAGGATCTTTCTGTAGCAGTAGCTTCACTCTCATGTAATTTCAGCCCATCAATCAAAAACAGCGGTTGTTGAGAGAAATTTAAGTGCACAAGACATAAATATTTTATTTAACAAGAATCAAAGAAGACGACAGAGGGAGGGAGGGGGAGTGGGGGGGGGGGGGTTTTTGCTTTTGTTGAGGATACAGAGCAATGCAGAGTCAGTCAGGAGCTAGAAAATCACACCTGTATGTAATCTCTACCCTGTAAAGGAAACTGTCCTTCTATCTCCTCATCTGAAATCATCAAAGATGGTTTGATGTTGTCTTCTAAGCTTTTGAACTCACCATGAACTCTACCCACAGCCAAAGTTTGTTTACTGCCCAAACTGCGGGTGATGTTAAGACACCCGTAGTGCCCATCTCCCATGAGTTCATTCTTTGAATTGGACTGTAAGACTTGCCTCATTCCTCACAACAAATCCAGGTAAAACGTACACACACACACACACACACACACACACACACACACACACACACACATACGCTAGACTGTCACACTGTGCGTGCATGGCATTGCAGCACAAAAAACCTGTTGACACACACACACACACACACACATATATATACACACACCACTCCCAATGCCTCAAACCAGGGTCACCAAGTCCCTGGTCTAGGTTTCGGTGGCTGGTTCTGTAATTTTCTGGTCAATGTCAGCCTTTCTTTCCCCTCCTCCGCTGCCAAGAGGAAATGAAGGGATGATCTCTCCGCTCTCCTCCACTCGTCACTGCCCGAGAAAACAAACAGGAACATTTTATGGCCTGCTTGTTGACCTACCGCCCAGGAGCAACAACAACAGGCTACTAGCAGTGTTTACTCCAGGATGAGCTACTTATACCGATAAAACAGCACTGCCCTGATGATATGTACAATCCAATTCCCATCTTTATATAGGCTCTGGAGCCGGTTGGGGAGGACTGTATAAAGTACAATTCAATAAACAATAAAGCTCCAATAAAATAATACACCTGTCTGATGTGGTATGTGAATGCAGCTGTTTGAACGCCATCACTGTTCGCTCTAACTTCTCTCCACTGTAAGCCTCGCCACCTTCCTGTTGCTACAGGAGACAATGGCCTTCAGTGTGGGATATTTCAAAAAGCTAATGATAAACTGTAAAGATAAAAAAACCAAACTCTTCTATCAACAGAATCCACTAAATGGGGACCGCAAACTTCTCTTTACACAATCTGCCCTATGCACAGTTGCAGAGCCTTCCACCTGGCATGTGTGAGCGGGTATATATCTGTGGGTGTGTGTTTACATGTGTGCTACCACGGCTCTCTCTCTTTCTCTCACACACACACACACACACACACACACACACACACACACACCTGTTACTCCCTCAGCACCAGGCCCTGAGCCCCAAACAAAGCTTCTCTCTGTACGGACACGGACACTGTTTGATTCCTCGCACAGCTCTCCCAACGCTGCCTCTGCTCAAACCTAAACACACTGTTTGCTATGGGCAAAAAAGACTGTTTAAGAAAGTGCTGGGAGAAGAAAGAAAGGCCTTCCCAGAGAGTCATCTGGTTCTAATGCAGGGCCCGCTGGTGTGGATTACAGGCACATATTACAGGAGAACTCAGGCTGACCCCTCATCTCTATCCCGGGGGAAATGGGAGCCAGCCATGGTGATGGGGGGCTGAGGGTCCGGGGGCCTGGGGAGCAGAAGGGTGAATAGAAGCCTGTGGGCAGGCTGCCACCCCGCATGATTGGTGCCCTTCCTCAATGAGGGAATTTCTCTGAGATCTTTTCAAAAACCCTCCATTGAAAGCAGGAAAAAACACTTTCTTCCCCTGAGCCTCTCAATGATACTTAAAAAAATGCCATTACTTCAAATATTCGCTATGGTCCGTTGCGCCTTCACCAGAGCTTCAGCAGGTTGTGAAGTAACAGGCCCCTCAATAATTATCAAAGTAACAGTAAAACATGCTTGTGTTATCAGATAAAACACAATAAGCAGCTGGCTACTCAGCAAGCGTTTGAGTTTTACTGCCCTCTCCCACACTGGAAGGGGAGGTTAACTAAGTGGAGGGGGGGGGAGGGGGTGGTGGTGGTAAACAGGCTAACAGGAAAGGCAGAATTGGAGTGAAGAGAGACGGCTTCAGCAGCAGCTCATAAGGTTGGCAGCAAATCTGGGTGTTTGGCCAGATAATCAGCTCAACTATGAAAACATTCCTATTAAAGCAGCAACAAATCAAACAAGATGCAGGGAGCACAGTGATCGTCCAAACAGAGCAAACAGGAACAAACAAAGAGACGAGTCTTCTTTTTTCTCTGTGCCATTTCCTCTTTGCAACTGCAATGTGACATAAAATGCCTAACTTCATATACATTTTCATAACAAACTAATTATTATTTACAAAGTTGCAGCTCTTACCTGTAGTATCTGGACTGTAGATAGGTGGAGCACACTGCTTTGGACACATGGCTGGCTGAGCCAAAGTCAATGACTTTGACCCTGTAGGGCTGTCGAGACGGGTCCACGAGCATGATGTTCTCTGGCTTCAGGTCAGCATGGATCAGCCCCAGACTCTTCAGTTTCATTAGTGCTGTGGCGACCTGCTGTAGCACGGGCCTGATGTATTTGAGCGGCAAGGGGCTGAACTTGTTCTGCTTGAGGAAGTCGTACAGGTTCTGCTCCAGCATCTCAAATACCAGGCACGTGTGGTTCTTGTGCTGGAAACACTCGTAGGCCCTCACAAAGTTGTAGTCATCTGCACTCTCCGTGCTGAGACGCGCCAAGATGCTGACTTCGATCTGACCCTGCCGTGCATAAGACGGGTGGTTTTTCAGGATCTTGATCGCCACAATCTCGTTGGTGCCCCTCTTCCAGCACTTGACCACCTGCCCAAAGGTTCCTCGCCCCAAGAATTCCAGCACTTCGTAGGTGTTGGTCATGGAGCAGAGCACCTCGTGTTGCACCAGCTGGTAGTCCCCCTCATTGTTGGAGCCACTGTTCTTGGATGTTGCCGTGGAGGTGGCAGTGGCCACTGTAGCCACCGTGGCTCCACTGGCTGCTCCGTTCTGGATCATCGGTGGACCGTGCTCCTCAATGATCTGCACGCTGCTGTTGTTATCAAGCTCCTCACTCTTGCGTTTAAGCCCGCATCGCTGGTAGGTGTCTAGGAGACTGACCGTGCTGCGGCGTGTCAGGTTGTGAACACCAACCCCGCCGCCCACACCGCTGCCGCCGCCGCCACCTCCACCACCGCTGCTGTTGCTGCTGCTGCCTCCACCCCCGCTGCCCAGCAGAGACCCCACGGCCCCTGAAGTGCTGCTGGCTGAGGTGACCACAATGTGGCCCGCGCTGGCTGGGAAGATGAGCGCCTGCTCGTAGGGCAGGGTGGAGCTGGCGACCTGCAGGGAGCTGTTGATGCCTAGGGGCCCACTGGCGGCCGACACGTTCTTGCTGCTGTTGTGGCTGTAGACTTTGCTGTGTGTGCCGTACCCTGTCATATCCCAGTTACAACTCTGCTCCACCTTCAGTTTCTTCACGCTAAAGAAGGCACTTGACTGGAGAGTGTGAGGGGAGAACACTTGCACTTGCGAGGCCATACCTGTGACAAGAGGGGAGGAGCAAGGACAGGAGGGGGATGAAAGTGAGAGGTTAGGAATTTGAGAGTGTCTGAAACACGAGTGGTAGCTAGAAGCTTTAAATAAAGACAGCTTGGGTCAGAGCAGGTCATTAAAACACCAAGCGTATATGCTGACGCGTCAGCATGCTAACCTCTCGAACTGTTTAACATCATTGTAAAGTAACAGACATTTAAATAACCTTCAAAATGTCATTAAGCATTTGTTGCTTTGACGTTGAATTGTTTCTGAGATATACAATCAAGTATTTTTGTATTAAAACATCAGATACTACGTCATTAAAACTGCTGGGAAAGGGACAGGTTTTTTTGGGGGGTTTTTTAATACAATGTAATGAAGTTTTTTAATATTGTTATATAACATAAATAAAAGCCAGAATGTTTAGAAAGATAAGCAGATTTAGATTGAGTGCTGCTTATGCAAACCACTGGTTCATGCAGAGGAAATGCCATTTCCCTGCTGTTCCCATCTGCAGCAAAGTAAATAGGCTGAGTGAATACTAAAAGAATACCCTTTCATGGGACACTCCACAGAGACAGAGGTGCAACACACAATCGTACACAAAAACAGGCCAAAGGAATGATTGCAATTTCCTTCCCCACTACACAACCCAGCCCTTGTATTTGTTGGTACACAATTACTCACTTTAGGGAAGGTGGTGGAAGAAATTTTGCTAAAGTAACTATGAAAACAGGAGAAGGGCACTGAACTGAGCTCTCAACCACGGATCTTGAAGACAACAAAACAAAAGCAAAACTGCAGCGAGGCTGTGCTCTGAACTCCTGGGAACAAGCTGCCTCAGAATAAGCAAAAGCTTCTCCAAGCAAACAACTGCCCAAAAATAGTCCCTTTCTTTATCTCTCTCTTTTACAAACAGGTTTGTTTGTAACATTGAAATGATTATTACAGCACAAGGCACGATTATATGAGACTTGTAGTAATGCTATGTTTAAACGGTTTCCAGTAAACCCACAATTAGTTTACTGCTAACAAACTAAGAGCTTCCACCTGGCCATACCGACGCCCACACACACGATTAGGCCTCGCTGTTGATCAACTGATGCGTGATTCAAAGAATGTTACGGTCGCAGCGTGCACACAAACACTAACAAAGCCCATGCATGCAAACAGCCCTTTAACTTTGTTTGCTGCTGGAAAAATTGCTGCTTTTGTGTGTTTAATAGACATCTTGAAAGCTGGGAAGTTTTGCTCTGTTCAAAGATAATTAGAGGACCATTTCCCTCCAAGACGTTGGGACGTCCATAATTGTGGGCTCCATTCTGCGGACAGAAAGCAGAGAGGAGGGGACATGCCTGGTCACTTTGTCATTATTAGCCATTTGAGTGGTGATGATGATTAATTCAGTAGGAAGCTGGCGAGCTGGCAGCCTTCCAGTATACTTCATTGCTTCATTTGTTTTTTTTTTTAACTCTCCTGACCTCTCTTCCTCCTTTTTTTTTTTTTTTTTAAGAGTTTTTTTTTTTTTTTAGAGTTTTTTTTTTTTTTTTTAAGAGTTTTTTGTATCTTTCTTTTGCATCATCTGGTCTTAGCCTTAATGCTGCAGGATTGGAGATACAGTTCACTGTAAGCTTCGCCGGTGTTGTACAGTAGTGGATGTAGCATAGCACCTCCATGCTTCCTGTAGTTCTTATTTCTGCCGTGATATCTGCATATACATGCTCTGACCAATCCATAAGATGTAGTCCTTTTTTTTTTTTGCTTTAAGTGCCCACACCTACACACTTCATGTCCCACTAGGTATGGCTAGACCAGAGAGGTAATGAAGAACGTCCGCTAGGCTATTAGGGGCAAGGCTCTGTGCTAATCACATAAGCCGTGAAGGCCAGATGTCACTCCTTGGATTACCAATTCCTGTGCCTGGACTTTACGCTAAAAATAATTTGAATGATGAGTTGCGTCACAGAGCAGCGTCAACAGTGTGTGACTGAGAGCCTGACAGGATAATCACAGGCACAGACTGATGGACAGAAAGATGGATAGACAGACACAGGGGCAGGCCTGTCCTCTTATGGAAAATTCCAGCATTACATATCTGCCAGCATGACTGCGGATAGCTCGGGGTTTTACAAGGCCAGATCGAGGCTAGCTGCTCTTTGCATTAGCATCACATGAATTCCTCCTCAACCCCGATCTTAGTCACTCATTGACTCTCTGTCAGTTTTAACAAAGTGGTCAAAGAGTTCACTTGACATTGCCTGCATGGTGCATTGAACTGAAGGACACATATGCTTCCCATGACTGGGAAGGGGCTCTGAAATATAACTGACACAAAATCTTTAGAAATGTGTCACAAACTCTTGAAATTCAGCTTTGACTTGTTAAGAAATTCTGCAGAGTTCGTTTTGCCACAGAACCAAAAAGCTGTACAAACAGTTAAGAGCCCTGTGCGGAACACAGATAAGTAATTAAATGAACCAAAAGTAAGAGGTCAAATGGCTGGAATGTTATCTCATGACAACATACACAGGCAACAATGTGACCAATTATACTTCTTTGGAAAAGCGGTTCCAGTCCTCATGAATCACTCTTCACCCAAACCAAGGTTCAAACATATTTATGATGTAGAATCTGAACAAACAAACCTTCTATGCTGTTGTCAGAAACAACACAGTGCAAAAGACCTTCCCTTGAAAATGTCTTCTTGAAGTTTATTTGAATTTCTGAACTCTATGCCAAGCGCAAAACTGTAAAGGTCCATTGTAGTACATTTACAATGTTGGAATACCTTCAGTAGCCAAGGCTTTCCATTTAGCATACCTAAAGGAACACAGTGTGTCCCACACACTGCAATTAAGCATACCAGAGAGGCATTTTCCACTGTTTAGAGGCAGCATGTTGAAATGGTAATAGCCAATGTTTTCAGAGAGATTACTTCTCTGTCAGGGGTTTGTTAATCTTCTTTTTGGGAGGATCAGGGCCGTTCTGCATGCCATGTGAGGGTGAGAGACAGACTGAAAAGGAGGGAAGGAGAACAGAGCGTGGAGAGCGGGGCCACGAGTGGCCCTCACATTCTAGCCTGTGACCTGCTTCTGTTTGCTCTCTTTTATTAAACCCGTCATTTATACTCGGCTGACAACATGACAAAGAGTATTGATGAGAACACCTTTAGATACCACCAATCCTGCCAAGTAGCCTTTTGTAATTACAAATAGTCTTTTAATATAAAACCTGCTTGTCATTCGACTTATCCATGCCTGTGCCCAAAGTTCTTTGCTTCATAATTCAAAACAATTCAAGGGTGAGATAAACAGATCTTTTTGCACAGCAAGAATGCATAAAATAAGGCTCATAAATTTGAATATATATATCAATCAATATCCAGAGAGCAACTGTTCCTTGTTAAGTCTGCACAAAAAGGTCTGAGTGGATAGATACGGTACCGAGACCCCAGCCGTCACCTAGGAGACTATGCAGAGACAGCAAGAGACGGCAGTCAGGTCTGTCTGGTTGATGTCCCCTGGCCTGGGTATATTTGGATTACTTCCTGAGGCCTAATGGCTACTGACACCAATGGAGACTCTCTGATGACCCTGTCTCTTTACTGGACATCCCAGTGTCTACAGGACTGGACAGTTTGGGTGGGGATGGGGTGAGGGTGGGGGTGGGTCAAATCGCTTGCTAATGAAATAACTTCTGACCGTCTAGACAAAGCATTATCTCACCCTTCGCTGCTGTTTGCGCGTGTGTGTGTTGCTTCCCTCACCTCCGGCCCGTCTCTGAGCAGCCTGACGTGTTGACAGGAGAGCAACATCATTTGTATTAGTAAGAACAGCTTCAATTCTCTTTGTCATAGATTCTCTGCAAATCTACTGAAGGAATGAACGCCATTATTCCAAAAAGATATCATAGATAGATACTCTCCCATACGTGTACAGTTGGATTGAATGCAAAGGCCACAGCATATGATTCACATCGAACCATTCAGCGAGCCCCCGAAGCCTGTATGGAAACATCTGCATTTGTTTCTCATTTATCCAAGTTTCCTTTTAATTAGTCACCAGTCTGTATATATTTTCTGGAGTGATGTTATGTGCACACATGGCCGACAGCACCACTGGTGGAAAACCTGTAGTGGGGACAGTGACAGTGGCTCTGGGGTTAAATACAACATTGAATGCACCACTGAAGAGGAACATATTGTTCATAGAGAGAAGCCGAGCCTTGTGTTCCTGCCTCCTGCCTGAGTTCTGCCTTCGGTGGGGGAGCTGGAGCTTGACACTGAATAGTCTCTCTCTCTCTCTCTCTCTCTCTCTCTCTTTCTCACCCGCGGCCACTATTGACCATCCTGTCTGCTTTTTTAGCCCTCTCATCTCTGCTTATTTATAGAATAATGCATCAGACGAGCTCGCAGGGAGATACTGTCATGCAGGCTGCTGCTCCATCAGCTCATCCTGACCGCGTCACTTGACCAGTTGGAACTGCCTCGCCATTTCCCTCCAACACTCTCTTACAAACACACAAAAAGAGGACAGATATCCATCTCGCATATGGGCGGCCTAAAAGGCAAACACGAACGCTGTTTGACAGACGTACTACACAGAACTTCTCTGCTCGTAAATCAGCAACATGCCTGCTGTAAATGTGACACTCCCTCGACTCTCCCCTTCCTGGAAACTAACAGCCAAAGATACAACATGTTGTGTTAGCTGTGAGATAACATGTTCGGTCAGCATTCGCTCAAATGCACTGGCATAGATACACAAGCGAGGACAAACACACACAAGCTACCGCACATGTCCACATCCAGGAGCAGCAATGCCAAAAGGGCGTATACAGCTACACACACTCACACCAAACCGATGTGAAAGACAGCTCTGAATATATTATTGACTTGGAGGGTTTACCAAGGAGATGATAACTTGTGTAGTTAAAGTTTCAGCGCTAGCATTTCTAATCTAAAGTAAAGCTGACAGACCTAGTTCCCCGGGGCAACTGTCAGTAG